TTTTTTATTTAGTCCAAGACATCATAACGTGAGCTCCGCATGTACAGCGACACACGAAGGGTACCATTGTGACACTGAAAGATTCAGGTGAACACGGTTAGTCCACCGATGGCCTCGGAACATCGGAGAACGTCCCTTTGATTGGCGCGTGAGACACGGAATGTGGAAATAAGTCACTGGCTATTTTGGAGGATAGGCTAAACTTCTTGTTTTTGGATGACAGGCAGACTTGGCACATAATTTGGCAGCTTTCAGCCTTGTGCATCTGTGCTATCTGGGGAAATGTCCGTTTACACCCCATCGCTGCAGGTTGCCGAGACGGGTCGCCCGTGTGCTCCATATGGAGTAGGGGCGGGACAGCAGCCCCCTTGGAGCCTTTACCATCTTTCGGAGTCAGTTCATCAACGCAATGAGCTCGTCTAATTCAGTCACTCTAAGGGTTGCGATCCGGTTTGAATTGAAAGATTGAAAGAATTGAGTGCCTGGGGTGTCGACATTTCGCCCTCAGGCAAGTCATCAACAACCATGTTCCAGGGCCAATTACCAACCCGTGTGGCCTTCATTCATCAACAAATCCATTCCAGTCACGTAGCTACTTGCATCCGATAATAAAAACACAACCGGAACCCTGTATCTATGCGATGTATGCTATTTCCCTATTCGAGTGAGTACCTAAGGATTCTTTTCCTTTTCCAGCATCTCGAATCCCTTGCCGAAGCCAAGCTCGCCCGGCATATCCCCAGGCGGAGGAGTACTTTGAACAAACCACTCGTGTCGAACAATTTCCCATTGAGATCCCCGAAATGGCAACACAGCAGCTCTAAGTCTTTGGCGATGTATCAGTCGTACTTGGTCAAAGCGTTGGGTGAGAATGCACAAGCCCAGACTTTCCGACGGCATCCTTTGGTCGCGGATGGTGTGCATGTTCTGCATTTCTGGTGAAACTTCTGACCATACTGTCTTGCCGCACCGCTATCTATGTGGTCTCCTCTCCCTCTTCTAATCCTTATTCTTCTTCCCTTAGCAGCCAGCAGCTTTATTACAGTCGTTTTGCTCTCTCTCTCTCTCTCTCTCTCTCTCTCTCTCTCTCTTCTCCGGGCTTCTCAGAGTAGATGCAATAGGAAAGAGGGTATATATGCATCGGTTAGTTACAGCCACCCAAACACTAATCTAATCAGAGTTTTCATGCAGGCTCCGAGATAGAAGGCCTACGAGATATAAGACATTTTTAAAGGTGTGAAGTGAGATGATAAGTCTGTTAAAGAGAGAGAGAAGTTGCCTTGTATGAGCTAGTCTCATACTTGGCATTGGAATACCCCAAACAATCCTGTAGCAAGATTACGCATCAATGAGGTTGGTACTTTGCTGCGCTGTGGTATCTTGCTCGTCGCCCGAGTTGTCGCGGGTATCCTTACTAGCAATCTTGCGAGCGGAACGGGCGTAGAACTCATCAAGAGTACGCTTGGGCATACGGTTAAGGAGCTCCCTTGGGTAAATTCGGAGTAGATTCCAGGCGATGTCCAGAGACTCGAAGATGGTGCGGGACTCGTGGGAAGATTGGCTAATAAATGTACGCTCGAACTTTTCCAGGAACTCCAGAGACAGTTTGTCTTCGGCAGAGAGGGCTTCTTCACCAACGACAGCCTTCATAGCGGCTACATGGTAAATCCCGTTAGAATACTGAAGATGACGAGGGTAGAGAGAAAAACTTACCAGCATCACGACCGATAGCGTACTTCGCATAAAGCTGGTTAGACACATCTGAATGATCCTTGCGCGTGCGACCCTCGCCAATAGCAGATTTCATAAGGCGAGAAAGGGACGGCAGAACGTTGATCGGTGGGTATACGCCCTTGTTAGCCAATTGACGGTCAATGAAAATTTGCCCCTCCTACATAGAATGTTAGTCGCTGATCTCTTCGGAACGAGAAAGCGGGCTTCATCTTTTCAACGAACCGTGATGTAGCCTGTCAAATCGGGGATCGGATGCGTGATGTCTTTGTAGAAGGAGGAAGACGTTAGCTTAGCAAGAACAAGGTCTAAGATAAGGAGAGGGGAGCTCATACCATCGTTAGGCATAGTCAAGATAGGGATCTGAGTAATAGAACCATTTCGACCCTCAACACGACCAGCACGCTCGTAGATACTCGCCAAATCTGTATACATGTAACCGGGATAACCACGGCGGCCAGGGACTTCTTCACGGGCAGCGGAGACTTCTCGTAGAGCATCACAATAAGCCGAAAGATCAGTCATGATAACAAGGACGTGCTTCTCGAGTTGGTAGGCGTAGTATTCAGCAGTCGTTAAAGCCAGGCGGGGAGTAATAATACGCTCGATAGTCGGATCGTTGGCTAAGTTCAAGAAGAGAGTGGTACGCTCCATACTTCCGTTTTCTTCGAACTCGCGAGTAAAGAATCGAGCGGTCTCCATATTAACACCCATAGCAGCAAAAACAATGGAGAAGTTCTCCTCGTGGCCATCATGGACATCCTTGGTAGGCCTGACTAGACTTGCTTGTCTGGCAATGGCCGATGCGATCTCATTATGAGGAAGACCGGCGGCAGAGAAGATAGGAATCTTCTGACCACGAGCAATTGAGTTCATAGTGTCAATAGCAGAGATACCAGTAGAGATCATCTCCTCGGGATAGACCTAGGGAAATGCGTTAGCTTATATTGTCTGTAAAGTTAGAGGTAGCATTTACCCGGGTGTAGGGGTTAATAGGCTGGCCATTAATATCCAAGTAGTCTTCCGCAAGCACTTTGGGGCCCTTGTCGATAGCACGTCCTGAACCATCGAACACACGACCTAGCATATCCTCGGACACCCCAAGCTTCAAACTATGACCAGCGAACTCGACTTTCGTCTAATTCCAGTTGTCAGTAACTCTTTAAGCAAGAAGTTTTCTCGCAAGGTTTCTGACCTTCTTCACATCAACACCCGAAGTGCCCTCAAACACCTAAAAACCCAGTGTGCTATTAATGTCCATCCATCACGATTTAATCGATCGAAACGGCATTCATCTCGGTTCATACCTGCACAATAGCTCGGTTTCCTATAGTGAACATCGCCAAGATCAGCAGACTATTTTATGGGAAGCTTATAGTAGGTACACAAGTGCCATAACAGGTCGGGGAGCTCACCTCTGGCCTCCAATACTTGACCAGAACGCTCCGTGCCATCGGGCAGTGTCAGCGATACAATTTCATTGTAGCGGGGAAATTTGACCTATATCGCGGTACAACATTCTATTAGCCCATAGCTCCATTCCTTGTGCCGGACTGTCCCCAAAGGTCTCACATTGTCCAGGACGACCAGCGGTCCGTTAATGCCTCCAATGGTGTTGTAGCGGATGCGGGGCTTGACGTTGGTCATTCGGGGGTCGATGAACCCTGGCATGGCGAGTGAATCAGATCGTCAACTAGCAGGGCGCGAGATGATAAAGGGTCGGATAGGAGCCGAGTACGGTGAAATGAGCTGGCCACGCTGTTTGCCGGAGATCGGGCGGTGACGCGGCACGTGATAGCGTACGCCTTTCAAGGTTGGCGGATGACCTCCCGAGAGGGGTCCCAGCACTTGTTTGGGTTAGTGCTATAGGGAATTTCGGTTCTCGCAAGAGGTATTTGGATCACCATGAAAATATGTCAATTGACCATTTTTTTTTTCTATTATGGCTCTAAGTGACTCTGATTCCAGTTTAGAACCCACTAGCTGCTCAAGGCCTAGTTGGCCGGAAAAGAGAACGATATCTGCGGGCATGCCTTAGCACGACAGAATTTCAACGCGGCGCAGACTTTTAGAAATACCCTCGAAATATTTATACTATAACACGCTTTGCTGAGGAAATTTTGAGTCTGGTAGGATATGATCAATGACGCACAATCACACTCACGTGAGAATTTCCAATCTGTTCGCTAATGTATCGCTCAATCTCAGGTGTATATATATAGCTACGCGAATTGTAGTCCGAAATATGGATAGCAAGGACAAATTGTTGATCTGTCTCGATCTTTCAATTAAGCCTCTTCGTGGGCTGTATCGAATGACAAGATTGCCATTAAAATCGCCACCGTTTGATCCGCCATCTCAGACACCAACTCATTTCGATGGAACTTATCATTCTCAAGTATCAAAAACTGACCTCATACGATGGAGAAGAACATGGGAAGGTCACTGGCAGACTGATAAAGTAGTCGGACGAAGAAAGACCTCTTTGATCATGCTTGACTCTTAGAAGTAGATTAAGCCGATATAATAACCCAAGGCGATGAACAAACAACGAACATGGATTTTTGAAGATGGTATTGTCAAATGTGACACATTCTTAAAACGGATGAAGCACATGATGGAAGAGTTACTTGCTGAATGTAGATTGTTAAAATCTTAATCTGAGGATATGCGACTACAGAGTGGGGATTCGGAGGTCTTCTCGTGCTGTGGTAAGATCGTGGTTGGAGGGCAGCGGATCCTCACTATTTGGTGTTGTTCTGGCCCCTTTTATACAGAGATATATAGACACATTACAAAACGCTCTAGAATAGCTGGGTTATTTTTAAGCATGCAGGTATCTTCAATTGGAAGTCGCATGCAAGATTGACTTGACCCATATCCACTTCTGTGCCTCTTCAAAATCCCACCTTAGTTTAGATGGTGGCGTTGTGGCTCCATTACTGCTCGGATGCATGGTCCATCTTCATGAAACCTGATCATGATCGTATGTTGGTCAATGCAGCAGCCAGGGCCATAGTTCTGTTGGGTTCCAGATGCTGTCAGGCCATTGTTTGTCGCTACAGAAATTCTGCCATTGCGTCAAAATAGACCAGATGCCTTATAACGACCTATGTTGGGGGGGTTGTATTGATGAAAAGTAAATTGAAAGAATGCTCAGAAGTAGGATAAAATAGAAAACGGGATTGAATGACTTAGGTCCCACGTAGAGTTTGCTCTTTCGCCCCCTTCAAATGCGTGCTCACGGTTTACGCGGGGCGAATGAATTTTGCCTCTCACCGCCACGAAGGCCCTATATCTCCTCAGATGCCCCGCATCTTTTAATTCTCTTCATCAACACCTCGTGACTCCCACTTTCTTTCAAAATGTCCAAGATCTACGTCGGGTATGTCAAAACCCATCAAATCTTGATGCGGAGGTGACGATTTATACTGACAACCTTACTAGAAACCTTTCATGGCACACCAGCGACGAGTCGCTGCGCGCGGCCTTCGGTGAGTTCGGCAACATTGTCGACTCTGTACGTGAAAAATTCCAAAAATTCCGATTTTCGCTTCGGAGCACGGACACTAATATTTTCATCTTTTTCAGATCGTCATGGTTGACCGTGAGACTGGTCGCTCCCGTGGATTCGGTTTCGTCACCTTCTCTTCCGCTGAGGAGGCCGAGGCCGCCATCAACGCTCTCAACGAGCAGGAGTATGTTTTCAACCCCTCCCCTCCCGATTAACTCGAAACGTAAGTTGCTAACCCTAATCTAGCCTCGATGGTCGTCGCATCCGCGTCAACCTCGCCAACGCCCGCCCCAGCGGTGGCTTCGGGGGTGGTAACGGTGGTGCCGGTGGTGGCCGCTGGTAAACGTTGATCAGTGACCCGAAAAAGTGCGCGATGGTTATGCAGAACGAGAAAAACGTGACATATTGACGCTTAGCGTTGGTAACGGTGCTTTGTGTGCCCTGAGAAATCAGTCACAGCTCACAAGGCAGTTACTAGAGTTACTCAAGAAGTAGATAGTATTTTCCCTCGGTGTTATACCTCAAGGACATTTGGAAATTTATTCAGGGCCGATCGATTCGTGCACTGATACACAAACCATTTTTGAACTTTTTTTTTGGGGGTAAAATTTTCACAATTGTTGTGCCCAACTCGATGTAAGGCTGCCATGAGGCTAGACTTCTGTTCAAACTATTGGTCACAATGTAGCATCTTATACGGAGGACATCCTTTCATTTAGAGGTATCGCCCCAGTGTAGCAATTGGAAATAGAACAAGGCGGAATACACAATGCTACGTGTCCTCTTGCACAGGAAATTTTCGGCTCCGCCCTAAAAAAGTTCAAAATCTCATCGGGTCGTTGACTTCGAAAGTTGTCCACAGCTAAACGTTCGCTGCTTGAGATATACACTCGTCTTCTTATCCAATCTGTAGCTAGTCCATTTTCTTGCAAAATCCGACTCGGATGAAGCCAAGCTACGGAAAAAAAGTTGTCTCTAGGCATGCCACGAGAGCGGGTCAAAGGCCTCCCATGAGAATCACTTATCCTAAGCCCCCTGCCACAACTTTGAGCCTCATGTAAAACATAGATTCATTACTCTGTTACACTGACTAAAAATAGTATCTTGAACATTACCGACGTCATTGGCCAATTGCTTCCAAAAGTGATGCCCCGCGGCTCAGCCGCCTGGACCCACCGCCACATCTTACTTGTTCACTTTATCAACATCAACATCTTCAACTCTGCACAGCACCCACATCACAGTATACCAATCCAAAATCATGGCACCCCACGAAGGCCTCGTCCACCCGAAAGAATACGACATCAAAGACAGCAACGTGGAGCTAATCGGCAGCGACCTTGACCACCGCGTGAAATACACCTCAGCCCTCACCGAACCTGCCTGGCAAAGCATCGACCAAGCACCCGGCCTTACAACCTGGCGCATCGAGAACTTCCAAGTTATCCCCTGGCCGAAAGAACAAACCGGGCAATTCTACGACGGTGACAGCTTTATCGTGCTACACACCTACAAAGTCGGCGACGACAAGCTCGGCCACGACATCTTTTTCTGGCTTGGCAGTAAGACAACTCAGGATGAAGCAGGTGTCGCGGCTTACAAGACGTTTGAGTTGGACGAGTTCCTTCATGGCGCTGCTACACAATACCGCGAGGTTCAGGAGCACCCCTCTGACGAGTTCCTCGCTCTGTTCCGGAACTACTCGATCCGGTCTGGTGGTGTGCGTTCCGGTTTCACACATGTCGAGCCTGAGGAACGGCTGGAGGTGACTACGCTTCTGCGCATCTTCAAACACCCCGGTATTGCGCGTGTTGACTCGTTGATCGTGTATGAGGTCGAACCTACATGGAAGAGTCTGGATGAGAATGATGTCTTTGTTTTGGATAAGGGAGATAAGATTTGGGTTTGGCAGGGGAAGAAGTGTAGTCCGATGGAGAAGGCGAAGGCGGCGCAGGTGGTTAATGATATGACGCAGGCGAAGCATGTTGATGTTGAGGTTCTGTCACAACTTGAACCCAGGTCGAAGATCTTTGTTGACTTGTTGGGTGGGAGGGATGTCGCTCCGTCTACTTTGGAGGCACCGAGACCTGGAAGGTTTGCAAAGAAGGGTGGTGATGAAAGTTCTCGGCCGCGCGGGCTTTTCAGACTCAGTGATGCGTCTGGGACGTTGTCTTTTGATGTTGTTAAGGGTGGGGGACGGGTTGATCGGTCTGACTTGGATGGGAAGGATGTTTTCCTTTATGATACTGGGAACCGGGTCTGGGTTTGGCAGGGGTCTGGAGCTAGTGCGAGGGAGAAGGCCATGTGGCTCAAGGTTGCGCAGTTCTATGTTCAGAAGATTCAGGAGAGCCAATCTTCTGAGGCGTATCTCACGCCAATTTCGAAGGTTTCGCAAGGCCATGAGAGCCCGGCATTCTTGAAGGCCTTGGAGGCTTAGAATTGTACATATACCATAGTAATGAGGCAATATGATCATGATCGTACTATTCATCCACATTTCACCTTAGGATACAAGATCCATGCTAGTCATCTTAGATCAAACTATAATCATTCTCCCCTTTGTCCAACGCATCGGCTTGTTTCCGCAGCACATCAGACCGGAATCTCCTAAACGCAGCTTCAATTCTCTTCTTGCTCTCTGGATCCGCGTTTATACTACTCGTCCCCTTTGCCACACCACCAGCAAAGCCTACATGGAAGAGTTCCAGTTAGCAAAAATTCCACCAACCCCCAATCATCACATCGTCGAATATCTTACCCAGCTCTCCACCTAAAAACAACCCGCCAGCGCTGGCAAAAAAATACGTCGCGACATCACCCAAAGTAGTAGGCTTCAACAACGGCGTGAGGTCAGGAATAGACTCTAAACACGCAAATCAATTACACCACCTTTCTTCTTAACCACCAACCCGGCAAAGAAAAAGACATACCAGTCCTTCCATCTTCAAAAACAACCTTGGTCGGTCTCTCCTGCGCACGAATGGCAGAGAAGAACGCCTTGCGTGTGCTACGCAATCGGATGGCAGTTAGAACACCGAGACTCACACCGACCGCAGAACCAACTGTTGTCCATAGAGAAATTGAAGATGCGGCTGCGTTGAGCTTGTCGCGGTCGGCGGAGTGGAGGTCGTGTTGAAGATGCTCGTCGGCGAGCTTGGCTAGCTCGTCGGAGCGGCGTTGGCGGAGAATGGCGAAGGATTCGGACATTTTGGAGTATATGGATCGGATAAGGGGTTTTGCAAGAGGTATCAAAGTGTAGACCTTGAAATAATTAGGTCTGAAGCTTTCAAACCTTGGAGGTCAGGTGGTGACGTCATGATTTTTAAGGTCGGAACCCAGCTTGGAAGCTCAACTTCGAAGATTGTATGGAGAAAGCAGGGAGGATTATTGCATTACCTCCTCGCCCTAGATCGTCAGAGTGAACACATTGTTGGGGGGCCTCGGGGTAAACCCATTGCTGTCAACCATATCTCGACCTCAGTCTCAAAGCCAGAACTTGCAATAAGACGCCCCGTCGGTCATACACCTTCTATGTGATAGAGCTGGAATAGAATTGAAGCGTAGAAGTGATCATAGATCTTTACACAGGAATAACTACACGCCTAACGAGCCAGGACCCTTCCTGATCGGACGTTAGATTCAGCCTCAACCTTCTACATGGTTATCTGTTCATTCACCCTCGTAGCCTAGGCCACCATTCCCAAGCAAATCCGCCCTCAAATAAAATCCCAAAGGCCGACGTCTGAGTTAAAAAAAAAGGCCTCGTAATGGGCGTCGACCTTCTCCGTACAGCAACATTATCCCTCCAATCTACCTTGGCACAACTATACCTGTTTAAAACACCTGGTTGCACATGGTCCAAGCAATCCCCCACACCCACGCCAAGAACAAGAACCCCTCATCATAGCCACAAACTCCAAAGAAACCGCAACACGGCATAAACAACTCCACACTTTAATCTCCGGCTATTGTCTTCTTGTCTGGTTTAGTAGAAATATACCTCGACGCACGGGTTATCTTAACGACACGCCCTAGCGTGGATGGGCGGAGAGTTGCCGCGAGAATATGGGGTTCTTTCATACGAGGTGGTTTGCGGTCCTTGGATTGCTTTGGAGAATGAGAGAGACTGTGATACAGACTTGATATGAAGATTCCGGAGAGATGTAAGGAGAGGTTTGGGAGGAAGGGGATACGTTTTCTGTGGGGTTTAATCAGGGGTATAGTGAGTTTGTACGGGTGGTTGTTAGGGTGCGTGGAAAGGAGGTCTTTTAGGTTTATGGATGAAGATGGGTGGGGACCGTTTTGTGCTTATAAGGAGGACTTTTGCTTGTCTTAAACGGAGTTGGGTTTTGAAGGGGTTGGTAACTTGGGAGGTACTTGGAGGTATGGCCTGGCTTTGTTTACCTCGGTAGCCTTTACGTGTGACCGCTGGGGTTTGGGATGGATGATTTAGCAAATTTTTTTAACTTTTTTTCGCTATTTTGGATGGTGTGTTGCAGTTCATATCATACATAAGAGAAAACAATGCATGCTAGACAAGGTTAGCCATGCCACAGACATACATGGGAGGAACTCGAACGTACTCGTAATCATCTGGAATACAACGGCCCACAGATACCAGTGGTGTGATCGATATGAGCCGCTACTAAGCTTTTTTATCGTAGGCTGAGGCGGGGCCGTATATGCGGGCAGACTCGGATCAGCAGTGCTATCATCGAGTTGCTTTTCACGGGCCTTGCTGATAGTAGCAGTACTCATAGTGGTGGGATTTGGCGCCTTGAGAAAGCCTTCCTTCTCAGCTTGTTGAATGGCTGCCCACCACACCGATGCCATTTCCTCGTAGCCAGCGGCTGTCGGATGAATATTGTCGACGAGTTGCTTCCACCGAATGAAAGTGCTCATATCAGCGAGGACGAGACTTTCGTTTCGCGCTCGGCGTTTCGCTGCAAGTTCTAGGTATTGCGTGCTGATTTCTGTGCTCAATTGAGGCTTCTTTCCGTTGAATGTGAGGGTTGATAAGATGATGGTTGTGTTGGGGATGTTGTCGAAGAGGTATGTTAGGAGAGAGTCCATCCGCTGGCCCGCGGTGGCTACTTTGTAATTTTGTAGAGCATCATTTGTGCCAGCGCTGTGGGAAAAATGTCAGCATGCAAAGAGATGGGTGTTTGCACCATCAGTTGGAGACCTACTTGAGAAGAATTAGATTAGGTTGTTGTGGGATGATCAGCTTGGCATGGGAAGCTATTTGATCGATTCTCCAGCCGATGTGTCCATCGTGGTCCTAGAAAGAGTCAAAATAAATTCTTTAAAACAGGTCAAGCAAGAGTCGGACGTCTCACATTATCGTGCATGGTGCCACTCTTCATAGTGCCCACCATATCAACCTCCCACCCAGCATAGCGCAATTGTTGTCGAATCCATTTCCGATATCCATTTCCATCTTCCGATTTGTATCCCATGGTAATAGAAGCACCGAGGGGCAGAACTCGTAGCGCAAACGGCTTTGTGTTCGGAGCTTGAAGCTCAGAGACATTGGAGTCCGAAGACACCACAGTATCATCAGAGATCATCGGTGATGCCGATACCACTGTCAGCCATATTAGACAAGCCTGGACAACCCAGAAAATGGGTGTCGACTGCCTCATGGTGACCGGTGACTGGGAGGGAATTTTGCAAAAACATCAAAACATCAAACCGGGAATCCCCATGTTCTTATATTCACCATCTGACCCAAATCTAACGTCAGATCCCAGTGATCAAATGCGTACTCAAAGGCTCTTGATTTGCTGGTGGGTTTTGCGTAAGCTACTTTAGGCCCACTGGGTGGCTGGGCCTCTCTAAGCCTCGCTCAGATACCAACCTTTCAAGTGCCCCTGATCTCTGAGTCACTTTGACTTAAACCCCAGTTGTCAACTCAGTCGCTAGGGCTTGAAATTAAAAAAATCTGCTCCGTACGGAGTACACAGACAGGAAGATGTTTCATTGCAGGCTGGTCGCACACAGTATTTACCGTTCCCAATTGGGTTTAGCCTACGCAAGGCATCAGCTGTCCCTTTTCGTGGTCTTTTTCACGCACGTGTGACTGGCGTAATCTCCACATTCGCTGCTGGTTTCACCTTGTCAACTACAGGCTCTACTTTTATTGCATGTCTAGAAGCCAAGACTTTACGCCCGCGAGGCTTGTTTCGTCCTCAGTGCTTCTCACGAATCAGCGTCGCGGGCTCATCCTCGTTCCCTCTTGGGCGCCCGCGGAAATTATGCCTGAGACACCAGGGCATCGACCCATGGCACATATTGAACCCTGCAAAGTCCAACTATAGTGCATTCTTGGGTGACTCGGGCATTCTATCGGGTAAAATAGCTGCGCGATACTTTAGCGTGAGGCTATCCAACGCATGTCTCGTATCGCAGAGGATAAAATGCGCCCCATTGCGTCGCGGTGAAAAGCTCGCCTTAGTCTTCCGAAGAGGCATGGAGGCTCTTACAAAGGAAGAGAAGGCTAAATTCTCATACGGAGTAGTGTCCGTAATACACTGTGCAAATGACCTCGGCAGTGATCTCGTCGGACTTTTTGTAAGCGGATGCTGCGACCGGATGCACCGGTTGGGGGGGGGGGGGAAATACGGAATACTAATTTGACACATGAGGTGTTACGCACCTAATGCGAGTCGAGGGTACATCTGCTGGATTCATACTCCGCATAGTGAGTTACTCGAACCTGCTGTCATCCGGAGGTAATGGAAATAGCCATGACCATATTCAGAGCGATGCTCCGCCTTCAAGACCACGCTTTCCTAATTAGAGTTCTGCCACATAGTTATGCCCACGTTATTACTTCTGGTCTATATAGTAAGAAAAATGGGCATTTTTGTTCACAAACGATCGCTTGTCTTCTTAAAATTGCGTCAGGTTGATATATTTATCTCACTATTGTCCAGTGCTTGTTGCACATCCTTGTCCCCGTCCTCTTCACGGCCAGCCTCGACTCAGGTCGCTGTTAAGAACTCAATGAGTCCATTCGGCATTGTTTAACCGTTACTTGATAGGTTTTAATTCGGGACAGAATGCCCTGTTTTCATTGAAAGAGTATTTGATGATTCATACGAGGTCAAGCAATGCTCATGTCAAATAAACTTTCGGAAACTCAACTCCAGGAACTAGCTTAATCTGATATGTTGATGTCATCGCCCAAACAATCCCAACAGACACAAGTTCAACCTCACACTGAAATTCGGAGTGGATATCCTCGCAAAGCACACAATTGACGATGATTACTTGGCGTTCTATCGCTCACACCTTGCAACGGGTTCGTGTCGCATCCTGGAGAGGTGGTCTGAAATGATGTATTGATCATCGTGCAGCACCATGCGCCCCTCAAAACCCAAGTAAGACAGCTAAGTCTACTTGAATACCAGTCACACAAACTGCTCCAAGACGTAAGATGTCTTTTCATGCAAGGTAACCTTAATGCTAATACAACACAGTTCAAACTACCAATTCCACCGGGGTTCCTGGTTACAACCCCAGAGCAAGCAAGGCATGTTGTCTCCGTGATGAGTAAGTCTGCACCAACCCTCTCCAAATTCCCCTGTCAAAATCTAAAATTCCACCAGATGGACCATCAGTGATAAAAGCCCAAGTCCTCGCAGGCGGACGCGGCAAAGGTAACTTCAACAGCGATGGGAAAAGTGGGGTCCGACGTGTCGAGTCGTGAGTTTCCCCGTATCCCAAACATGCTAGACCCAGGTCTAACGTACCCAGATCAAGCGAAGCATTTAAAAGCGCCAGTAACATGCTCGGGTACTACCTAACCACGGCGCAAACACCAGAGGATGGACTCCGCGTTGACAAGCTCTACATCAACAAAGCCATGGCCATCGCTCAGGAATTCTACTTCGCAATGATACTCGACCGACAACACACCTCACCCGTGCTATTAATATCCTCGTCCGGGGGGACAGACATTGAATCGAACATCGACAACCTGCACAAACTCTGCTTTGGGCTCTCGACAGGCATCACTGACGAAATCGATGCGTATGTTCAAGCAGAGCTGGGATTCTCCGATGTCGAGATGAAGGACATACACCGGATCTTAGTGCAGATGGTCAAGTTGTTCAAGGAGAAAGATGCGACGCTACTTGAGTTGAATCCCCTGGTGCGTACGGAGGAAGGGGAATTTGTCTGTTTGGATGCCAAGTTTGGGTTCGATGACCTGGCGCGGTATCGACAAGAGGAGATCTTTGCGTTGGAGAAGAGGTCACCGGAAGAGGAGGAGGAGCATCAGCTGGCAAAATTAGGACTTTCTTATGTGCGACTTGATGGGAATATAGGGAACATTGTTAATGGGGCTGGGTTGGCGATGGCCACTAATGATCTGATTAGTCTGCAGGGGGGGAGATGTGCGAACTTTTTAGATGTTGGGGGTGCGGCGACGAAGGAGGCTTTGTCGAAGGCTTTGGGGATTTTGAAGAGTGATCAGAGGATTAAGGGGATTTTGATAAATATTTATGGGGGTGAGCATCCACTTGAACAGTGGGTTAGTGGAATTACTGATCAATGATAGGAATTGTACGATGCGATATGATTGCCGAGGCGATTGTTGCTGCTGCTGCTGAGATGGGGGGTTTCAAATGTCCCGTTGTGGTTCGGTTGCAGGGTACGAATTCCGACAAGGGATTGAAGCTGGTCAGTAGATCTGTCCGGTAGTTATCGAGCGAGCTAACTCAATTGGTAGATTGAAAGATCCGAGTTGGATAACTTGATTGTAGAAGCCGAGTTCGAAAATGCTGCCCAGATGATCGTGAAGCAAACACCCGGGGTTGAAGTTTAATTAATTGGTTCAATAATCGAAAGACAGTCACTGATCATGTCACTATATGTATCTAATGCCATGTCATAGCCTCTAAGGTGCCCGACAGTACTCGAAGCAGACAGGTGCATATTAATCATCCTCTAAACCATAAGCGCGCCTTCACACAAGACCATACCCCAAAATTGCAGGAATGCGTGGTAGTCCGGTTAAGGACTGCATAACCAATTTAAAGCCCAGGCTCGACCTTGATCGGCGGATGAACCATTTTCTCCTCTGCGGTAGGCTTTCTACCCCAGACTCGGCGACTAAACACAATCAGCAAATCTAACCTCGCATTATGGGTATACAAGAAACTCACGCGTATTCGTAAGCATGGGTACGGGGGTTCCTTAACTCCGCTCGAACCTTGGACAGATACACCTGCACCTCCTCCTTAGTCCAGGGAGTGGGCGCACCGAATTTGGTGAGGAACCACATCGCCCAGCCCTCTAGCGCAGCAACCCAGTGAGCGTATTGAAGCTGCCCGACTTCCTTGAGAAAATTTTCTCTCGGCCACGGCCCTAAAGGAATCTTATACAGCTTTTCCTGTACATCGATAAACCCAGCCTTCTCCATTGCGCCTCGCATTGTCTCCTGTGTCAGGAGGGAGCGGCAGGCTCGTTCGGAGCAGCCGATGAAATTATCTCCCCATGTGGCTAGAGCCCCGCCTTCTTTCAGGGTGCCGTCGTCGCTGTAAACTCGTACATCTAGTTCGATCTGCTCGATCCAACCGCCTGGAGTGAGAGCACTGAATAGCGTAGTGATTAGATATAGGTTTTCTGGCAGGTATAGGCTAGGGTGTGGATTGGGGACTCACTCGTAGCATTGCTTGTATAGTTGATCCCATCCCTTAGGTGCAAATGCCCCCAGCATCTGACGCATGTGGATAAAGTCAAATGGCTCTTTCCAGGTCCACTGCTGGAGGATATCGTCTACTTCGAATACACAGTTGGGTGGCATCCATGTCACGGGAGGAGGAAACATGTCGACGCCACGGACAGTTGCTGCAGCTTGTTAGTCAAACAAGATAGGAGAAAAAGGGGAAGCAATGGATTACGTACCAGATGGATACAAATCCGCCACATCACTGGGTGAGTGTAAGCGAAACTCGATTGAAGAGGCTGGGCGGGAACTTACATGGCCCATGTTCCTTTCCCGGTCCCAATGTCCAAAATATGCTAGAGGTATCTCTTAGCAATGGGTAAAATTTCCAAAATTTAGGTCACTCTCTCACCCGAGGAGATTTGCCAATAGGAGCATGGTGGAGAGGGTTTTCACGGTCATGATCTAGCACGAGAAACATCATATGACTGAGCATCACACATAAGTTGTTGCTTCAACCAGACGGAAAGACGAGGGGGGAGATGCGTATTTACCCAATCTCAAAAGCCTCAAATTGTTGTTCATCCGAAGGACTCCTGTGTGGCATTATTAGCTTCAAGCATCCTATAGTAAAGCATCGCGACCGACCAATAGTCATCTTCTTTCAGAGCCTGGTATCTGCTCGTACTATTAGCAAGGGCGCATGTATCCACTGCTTCAACTGATTTGCTCACCGTCTGCCATTTTCCAATCGACCTTTCGCAATTGATGAGGCGATAGATGTGGTTTCCCTGAGACTGTCAGAAGACAAAATATTGTGGACATCATTTCAGCAACTCACGACTGAAAGTCTTCAGGCTCCCAGTCATCCGTCAGAGTGTAGTAATCAGAGTCCTGCCAGTGTGAGATAACATATCAGAAACTGCGACTCAAAACTCACCACAACAATTTTTTCCGCCATAGTTTTGTAGTTTGGACTACGGAGTAGAACAGAAAAAAACGTGGCAAGACAACCGGGGAGATGTCGGATGCATCTGGCCAAGCTAAGCTTATTTTAGTTCTAACGGTGTACTTTTGTTAGGGCTAAGCGACAACTATAGTGTGCCTTGTCATGCACATCAAAGCTGTTCTCTTTCCATATTTGGCAGGTGGGTATCGGCCCGTGTCGGGGGCCGGAGGATCCCCTGCCGAGCCCGCTGTCCACTTTGGAAGGTTGCTAGATAAACATCACCCTTGTCTTGCATCGCTGGTTTTCATAGTTCCACCGAAAAGCAACTAGGATTCCATAAAAAATGAACCGTTGCATCAATCACCACAGAGATGTGATATGTTGGGTGAGAAGACCCGCAAATGTCAAAGATTCCACATCTCCCTGACTCCGGGAAATGTGTCTGTTACCAATCAGCACGATCCTACGGCAGCCTCTTCTGGGAAATGAACGCACCGCATAAAATCAGACTCCGACAACGAGGACGAGTTCTCCGAGATAGTAATATCATTATCCGGCTTGTTGATCCAGCTGCTGAGAAGGGAAGATTCTAGCAGCGTGGATGATAGGAGCAAATGCCGAAAATCCCGTCGCCATGAAAGTCGATAAGCGTAATAATCTCTTCACACTTGGCTTTTGGAGATGGGGATGCACCACTAGGTCTTGACAAGTCCCGCAGCACCGGTGCTGCAGCACTAAGGCTTGGCAGCACCAGACACTTGGTTCGGTGCTGCAGTGCTACAGCGGGAGTGCTACAGCACTATAAATAGTGTAAGCACGACTAACCTCGTGATATACATAAGTTATATAGAAAAGCCAGTAACTTTAGTGTATTTTGATTACAGTAAACAGGGAATCTAGAAAAAATCATTATCATATTTGTTTAATTATTTACGCTTTATTTAGTCCTCTTAGTATATGTGTATACATCATCATCTCTCCGACGCTTCCGTTCCCTATATAGACGCTAGCTATCGCTTTATACGATTCTAACTATTAGGTGATATTTTAGAAGTTTAACTAAGTTTATGTCTTGATCTAGAGTCTCTTGATCCAGAGTCTCTTAATCTAGAGGTAGGTTGTCACGGTGCGAACCGTGATGCTTAGTTAGAGGAAGATCACGGCACGTGATCTCCGACCTGTTTATCTGAACTTCAGTTCTAGATCCTGTTGTAGCTCTTCGAGCTACGTCTTGTATAATAGCCTGCCCCTGCCTGTACCTA